GTTATTCTTGGTACTATTGCATGTAATGTAGGTTTAGCAGTTCTAGAACCCTCAATGATTGGTGAACCCGCAAATCCCTTTGCAACCCCGTTAGAAATATTACCTGAATGGTATTTCTTTCCTGTATTTCAAATACTTCGTACAGTGCCTAATAAAATATTAGGTGTTCTTTTAATGCTTTCAGTACCTACGGGATTATTAACAGTACCTTTTTTAGAGAATGTTAATAAATTCCAAAACCCATTTCGTCGTCCAGTAGCAACCACTGTGTTTTTTATTGGTACCGGAGTTACCTTTTGGTTGGGCATTGGTGCAACATTACCTATTGAAAAATCCCTCACTTTAGGTCTTTTTTAAATTTGTTTTGTGGAGTTTTGATTCAATTTAAAAAAAACCAAAGCTTGTGTATCTAGGGAAGCGTTTCTTGAAAGTTCTTCCTAGATACACGTCAATTCATATTCATGAATGTTTCAATTTATTTTTTTTATTAATTAAACCTAAGTTTATAATCAATACAGTGCAAAATATTTTCCTAGAATCCCCAATATATGTTTTATATCTTCTAGTTGAAAATGTTCTATTTTTAAAAGATCTTCTTGTTTTTGATTAAAAAGATCAAATAATGTAAATATATTTGACTTTTTCAAGCAATTATATATCTTGGGAGGGAATTCTAATTGGTCAATAAAAATTAATTTCAATGAAAGTTTCTTTTTTTTTTTTTATAAGTGTAGTCACTTTATTATAAAAGATAAGGGGGGGTAGGGGAATTGTGTGTTTTGCATCTGCTAAATATAAGTTTTCTTCTTCCATCTGGAAAAAAGGAATAAAGAAATCAATCAATATTCGGGCGGATTCATGAAGTGCTTCTTTTGGTGTTAAACTTCCATTTGTCCATATTTCCAAAAAAAGTATCTCTTGTTTTTCATTCCCATAAGAATGAATACTATGATTTGCATTTTGAACCGGCATGAAGAGAGCATCTATAGGATAACTTCCATCGTCAAAGTGAAGGTCCACTTTGTTGAAATATCCGCGATTTCTCTCTATTTTTAATCCAATAAAAAAATCAATAGGTTCCGTCAACCAAGCTATATGTTGTGTGTTATCAACAATTTGTACATGGGGGGGTAATATTATATCTTGGGCAGTTACATGTCGAGGTCCCTTGATACAAATAGACGCATCACAACTTTCATATAGATTGCTCCTCAATACAATTTCTTTCAAATTCATTAAAATCTCATGTACCGATTCTTGAATCCCCCCTATGGTAGAATACTCATGCGAGGCTTTCTCAGATTTTACACGTGTGATACATGTCCCTTCTATTTCTCCCAGCAAAGCTCTTCGCATCGCAATTCCTATTGTATCGGCTTGACCTTTTATAAGTGGAGATAGAATAAAGCGGCCATAAAAAAGGCGTTTACTGTCTATTCTTGATTCAACACATTTCCACTGTAGTGTCCGAGTAGATACTGCTACTTTCTCTCGAACCATAAAAATTTTGATTTAGTATATTAGTGAATCTTCTATTTCTCTTGATATAGGTTCACTTTTGATTTCTACACACGTCGTTTTTTGGGGGGTCTACAGCCATTGTGTGGCATAGGGGTTACATCCCTTATAAAAGTTAATAATATACCGCTTCTATGAATAGCTCGTAATACTGCATCTCTTCCGAGACCGGGACCTTTTATAAATACTTCGGCTCGTAGCATACCTCGATTCACTACTTTACGAAGAGCATTTATTACCGCGGTTTGAGCAGCGAAAGGTGTTCCTCTTCTGGTTCCTTTGAATCCAGAAGTACCGGCAGAGGACCAAGAAACTACCCGTCCCTGTACATCTGTAACAGTCACTATGGTATTATGGAAACTGGCTTGAACATGAATTACTCCTTTTGGTATTCTACGTGCATTCTGACGTGAACCAATACGTCCCCCCTTCCTACGCGAACTAATTCTCGATATATATTTTACCATTAAGCATTTTGTAAATCTGAGTCAGCGATATACTATATGGATATATCCATTTCACGATTCTTTCATTTCTATAATTGGTTTAGTTACTAAGTTAAGTTGCGAAGTCTTATTATCCCTGTCGTTGTTTATGTCTGGGATTGGAACAAATTACTATAAGTCGTCCCCTTCTCCGTATTAATCGACATCTGTCACAAATTTTACGAACAGAAGCTCTTATTTTCATATTCAGACTCCTTACATTTCTTTTAAATTTACTTTAGAGTTTCGGTTTGATTGGAAGATTATAATAAAAACATTCATTTTTTTTTTTATTTTCAATTTCTAATTTTGTTATTTTTGCCAAAGAGATAGCTAAGTTTAAAAATGACTCCTTTGAATCATTGTTGTGTTGCAAAAGCTTCATCGACTTGTTCTGAAGTTATCCGTCTAAACTAAAAATGAATTTAGCCTATTTTCACAAAAAGAACTTATAATCCAATCTTTATTACTTTATTAGTTGATTATCTAAATCAATAAAAAAGAAAACCAGAACATACTATTTGAAAAGGATTCCTTAATAAAAAAATTCTTGAAAAAAGGAAAGTGATTTTTGTTCTTTCATCCGAAGGACTTTATTCTTTATTTCAGTGACCTAGAAGCAATAAGGAATGGGGATTTCATTAGATTCTAAAATATCCCATTTGGGAATCATAGAAATGGAAAGTTTCTACCTAATTGGCATCTTGAAAATATTACCATATATAAAACAAAATCTCCCCCCCGATTCTTTGCAGTCGGGCTTCTCGGTCTGTCATTATACCACGTGAAGTAGAAAGAATTACAACCCCCATCCCGCCTAAAATTTTAGGTATTTTTTTAGACTTAGAATACATTCGTAGACCGGGTCGACTTATCCGTTTTAAATTTAGAATATTGCTAAAGGTCCTTTTTTTAGTGTTTATATGTTGCAGAGTTAAAACTAAAAAATTTTTGTTGTTTTCTCGATGATTTCTCACACTTTCAATAAAACCTTCTTTTAAAAGGAGTTTTACAATCTTTTCGTTAATATTACTGGATGGGATTCGAACTGTTCTTTTTCCATCCCTATGAGTATTCCGTATAGAAGTTATTATCTCAGCAATAGTGTCCCTACCCATGATGAACTCTAATTATGGAGCTAAAAATTTTTCTACTCTCAACGTGTTTTTTTTATTGTCTATGGATTATTGTGTTTATCTTACTTTATTTTAATCTTAAAGTTATATACGTGAGACAGATTCTACTCCATTTTTTAATTTTTTTTATAATACCTCAGGAGCTAATGAAACGATTTTAGTAAAATTTAATTGTCTTAACTCCCGGGGGATTGGACCAAAAATTCTGGTCCCTTTTGGATTTCCTTCTTTATCAATAACAACTGCGGCATTATCATCATATCGTATTATTATCCCGTTGCCACGTTTTAGTTCTTTAGAGGTACGCACGATTACGGCTCTAACTACTTCAGATCTTTGTAGAGGCATGTTAGGTACAGCTTCTTTGATAACAGCAACAATAATGTCACCAATATAAGCATATCGACGATTGCTAGCTCCTATTATTCGAATACACATCAATTTTCGAGCCCCGCTGTTATCCGCTACATTTAAAAGGGTTTGGGATTGAATCATAGCATTTTTTTTATTCTTTTCTTTCACAATGCAAAGGGCGAAGAAAAAAAGAAATATTTTTTGTCCACAAACATAAAACGAAACCTCTTTTTTTTTTTGTTTTTGTTTCATTCTTAAGATTCTTTGGGTTGGTTCTAGAGTTATATCGTCTATTCTATCTCCGAAATAATGAATTGAGTTTGTATCGGCATTTTTGATGCTGCTATTGAAATAGCTTTTCTGGCAATATTTTTTGTTACTCCACCCATTTCAAAAAGTATCCGACCGGGTTTAACAACAGCAACCCAATATTCAGGGGATCCTTTTCCTGAACCCATACGTGTTTCTGCGGGTCGTACAGTAACTGGTTTATCGGGAAATATACGTACCCATATTTTTCCTCCACGACGTGCATTTCGTGTCATAGCCCGTCGCCCAGCTTCTATTTGTCTAGATGTGATCCAAGCGGGTTCAAGTGCTTGAAGCGCATATTTACCGAAACAAATATGATTCCCTCGAGAAGCTATTCCCTTCATTCTTCCTCTATGTTGTTTACGGAATCTGGTTCTTTTGGGGTTATAGTTGATGGATTTTTATTTATTCCATCTCTACTACAGAACCGGATGTGAGAGTTTCTTCTCATCCAGCTCCTCGCGAATTACGAATAAAGTATTTACAAAATGAGCGTTTGACTCAAATTGACTAATCATAGTGAAGATATCTAAATCTAAAGATAGATAATAAAAGTCTGGACTGAGAAGTCAAAATAATATTTAGGGATTGAGTGATCTTTTTTTAAATCTATTTGAATTGAAATGAATTATTCTACAGTTTTTTCATGATTCTCTGAGTCTAACTAATCCTTCATTTTTGACTATTCTTTATATTGCTTTAGATTGAATATTGATTCTTTTGAAAAAAGTTTTCGCGGGCGAATATTGACTCTGTCAATTTAGATTTCATTTCTAGGACGAGTTTGTGACATCTTATAGCTAGTATCTAGAAATAAAATAATTTAACATTGGTTTATTCCGCCATCCCAGCCAGTGAATGTTTAAGATTTTTTTTTATTTCATCTTGAATTGAATTGAATCTTTTGTATTCTCATAAGTTCCGTCGTCCCCATCACTTCTTACTTAATGGTTAGGTCCTAATTTTACAATGGAGCTCAAATAGTAATAATATATGAATAATTTAAGTCTTTAGCCATTTTTCTTAGTCTTTATTGGCTTTAAGCTCTTGACTTTATTTTTTTATTTTATCTCTTCTATATTTAATATCTAATTGAATATTTATATATAGATTATAGATTTCTATAATAAGAGTATATTGTTTTTTATTATTGAATATTCTTAGATTTCTTATTCTATTTTAAATACTTTAATATGCAGAATTTAAGTATTAATGCTTCATTACATTGCCTGTTTTGTTAGACCCTACATATTGGAATTTTCAATCATTGAGCTTCTTTTTCTCCCTTTCTCTCTCCCTTCCAATTATCCACATCTTTTTTATATTTTGCTTCGCAACTTCAATAATATTTGAATACTATTTTTCGTTTATGCAAATAAATGGCAGTTGCTACAACGATATGAGCGGTAATCATATCGTGACTGGTTATTTAGATCCAGATAATGCGAAATTGATGAGTTAATTATTAGGTAATTTCTTCTCGAGTTAGTAGTTGTTACTTTGGGTTTGGTTTCATGCTAACCTTAAAAATAAACGAGTCGCACACTAAGCATAGCAATGATATTTTTATTAAAAATAAATAAAATTTTTATTCAACCTTATAGAATTCATTATTATCAATTAGAACTGTTCCTGCTCATTACACAAAATAATTTGTGAAATGGCCGCTCGGTATTACAGGTAAAAAGAATGAATAAAATTTTATTGAGCTTGATCAAAAAATATCCAAATTTTTATGCCTAAAACCCCGTAGATAGTTCGAACTGAATAACAACAATAATCAATTTTAGCTTGAATAGTTTGGCGGGGAATTCTTCCTTCTCTTATCCATTCCACACGTGCAATTTCCTTTCCGTCAAGGCGTCCCGCAATTTGTACTTGAATTCCTTTTGTATCTGCTTGTTCAGCTAATTCAATAGCTTTTTTCATTGCTTTTCGAAAGGAAACTCTATTCTTTAATTGTCCAGCTATAAATTCGGCAAGAATATTAGGATTTCCATACGGTTTTTCAATTTTTGTGATAGCAATATTAAGTTTTCGGTTTACGAAATTTAATTTTTTTTGTAGAGCTTTTTGTAATTCTTCAACTCCCTGCGGGCTATTTTCAATGAATACTTTGGGAAATCCAATATAGATTATGACTTGGATTAGATCGAGTCTTTTTTTAATACATATACCTGCAATTCCCTCGGTACCCGAGGGTTTGATTCTATTTTTTTGTACATAATTTTTTATAAAAGCTCTTATCTTTTGATCTTCTTGCAGATTTTCAGCATACGTTTTTGGTTGCGAAAACCAAAGTGAATAATGGGCCTGGTTTGTACCAAGTCTGAAACCAAGTGGATTTATTTTTTGTCCCATAAATACCTCCTTTTCTGGATATCAGAATATGCTTTAGTTCTAGAATTTTTTTTCGCTTGTGGTTTTTTTAGCAAACCGAGCTCCACGGATTCAGAATCATTGAATGAAATATCTTTTAGTACAATAGTGATATGGCAGGTCGGTCTTTTTATTGGATAACTACGCCCGCGAGCCCGAGGTTTTAATTTCTTTCCAGCAGTCCCCTCATTAACTTCAGCTTGACTAATAACTAAATTTGCTTTATTTGAAGCCATAGTGTAACTAGCATTTGATGCGGCTGAATAAACCAATTTTAAAATTTGATAACTGGCACGATAGGGCATGAGTTCTAATATAATAAGTGTTTCCTCATAGGAACGCCCACGAATTTGGTCAATAACTCTTCGTGCTTTATTAGCCGACATAGCTATACGTCGACCTAAAACGTATACTTCTGGGGTTTTTTTTATTTAGCATCTGGTACATAAAATTTGCCTCCTACTAATGACTTATAAGCATCAAAATATTTTTTAGTATTCACATTACCGATGAGATTTCTTATCATTTTTTGCATGTCCTCGAAAATTTAAAGTAGTTGCAAATTCTCCCAATTTGTGTCCGACCATATCATCCATTATATAAATAGGGAGATGCTCTTTCCCATTATGAATGGCAATAGTATGACCAATCATTATTGGAATAATAGTAGATCCCCGGGACCAAGTTATTATTATTTCTTTTTCTCCCTTTGTGTTAAGTTTCTCAATTTTTTTTAATAATTTATGAGCTACAAAGGGATTTTTTTTTTAGTGAACGTGCCACAGTTTACTCCTATAAATTTTATTATTCTTTTATTTTTTTATTTTTTCATATAATTGAATGAATAAATTTAATTTGTTCTATTATATTAATTTTTATACTATATATATTACATTAAGTATATTCACTCTATTAACTATATTATACTATTATATTAACTGCGGTGACGAAGAATGAGCTTCTCACTATATTTATTCCTCTTTCTAGTTTTTCTTCCAAGTGCGGGATAACCCCAAGGGGTTGTAGGTTTTTTTCTCCCAATAGGAGCTCTACCCTCACCGCCCCCGTGTGGATGGTCTACGGGGTTCATAACTACTCCTCTGACTACAGGACGCTTACCTAGCCATCGTTTAGCTCCAGCTCTACCCAAATTTTTTTGGTTGAACCCAACATTCCCGACTTGTCCTATTGTTGCGGAGCAGTTTTGGGATATAAAACGGACCTCGCCAGAAGGTAATTTTAATGTAGCTGATTTACCCTCTTTTGCAATCAGTTTCGCCATTGCACCCGCTGCTCGAGCTAATTGTCCACCCCTTCCACGTGTAATTTCTAGGTTATGTATAGTCGTGCCTAAGGGGATTTCGGTCAAAGGTAGGGCATTTCCAATTTTGATTGAAACATTTGTACCAGAAACAATGGTATCTCCAATTTGAGCCCCTCTCGGATGTAAAATATACTTCTTCTCACCAGTCTTATAATGTATTAGACAAATGTTTGCATTTCTATTAGGGTCATATTCTATGGTTATGATTCTACCATATAGGTCTTTTTCATTCCGTCGAAAGTCTATTTTACGGTATAGGCGCTTATGACCCCCCCCCCCTATGCCTTGCTGTAATGATTCCTCTAGCATTACGACCTTTACCACAATGATGCTTTCCAGAGAGCAAATTTTTTCTTCGAGCAAATTTTGGGCTGTTTACGGTTTCGCTCGGGTTATAAGTTTTGTATAATTGTATTCCCATGATATAAATGATTTTTATTTTGGATTTAAAGTTTATTTGTTTGGAGGTGTAAGCCAATGTCTAATGATCTGCGGTAGCCATTGCATTATATGTCCTCTAATAGGGAGGGCCTACCATTATGTGACCCTTTGCCAGAAGCGTAGCACTACTCAAAGTTTATGACGTGGATTTCAAAAAAAGTCTATTTATTATTTTTTAATAACTAAATTCTTTTTTTTAATATTATATCTTTTATTCCATCCCGAATTTTAATTCATTCCGTATTATTTTAAGTTGAAATAAAAATGTTAATTTTGAGTGTTGATAGAATCTATCTATATCTCTAATATAGAGATAGATTCTCTATATGTATCGGTATCCTAGAATTATCTATTATGATATATGAAATGGAAATAGTCAACATGAAATCTATCTAGGAACATATATCTTCTATGATATTTGATATGGACAAATCTATCTAGGAGCATATATCTTATATGATATTTAATATGGATTATGAAGGAAATGCTCAAAGTAGATCTATGCTAATATATATCCTAAAATATAACAAAAATATCATAAAAAGAAGAATTGGAGGGTCAATGAGATTTTGTGTAAATAACTAATAGTGCTAATAGTGTGCATCCAGTAGGAATTGAACCTACGACTTCGCCAATTATGAGTTGGGCGCTTTAACCACTTAGCTATGGATGCTTAAACGAGACCATCATCTATAAAAATTGAAAATTAAAATATAATAATTATGGTAATTATGAATCTTGGAATTGCAAATAAAAAAAAATGATATTTTATTTTATATGATAGGATATGATAGGAATAGAGAATCTAATATTCAATATCGAATTACAGCAAAAAATATTACATAAAAAAATGTCGTTTAAATAAAGAATTTCGCGGAAATCTGAAATACTAAACAAAGACTCTATTTATCATTTCTATTTTTACATTAAATAGTCAATAGTCAATTATATAAAACAAGTACTTAAAATTTTTGCATAAAATCTTATGGAGGTATGAGATGGAACCTAAGCAAAACAAGTTCTGGATTCTAGAATTACGAGAGATACTGAGAGAGATTAAAAAATCAAAATATTTTTTAGATTCATGGACCCAATTGAATTCAATCGGATCTTCCATTCATATTTTAGTCTCCCAAGAACGGTTTTTAAAACTGTTTGACCCACAAATTTGGAGTCTTGTACTTTCACCTAATTTGCAGGGTTCAAAAAGCAATCGATCGGTCAAGATTAAGGGAGTTTTACTAGTTTTCGTTGGCGTTGTTATCTTTATTTATCGTATTAGCAATCAAAATATGGTTGAAAGAAAAAATCTCTATTTAAAAAGACTTTTTCCTATACCGATGAATTGCAGTGAATCCATAACTGATCAAGATAGTGGTTATTCTACTCTAAATCGATTGAGTATTTTACTCCTTTCTTTTCCAAAAGGCAAAAATCAAATTGATATTGATTTACTGAATACGAACTATAATACTCGGGTTTTGCCAATAAAAAAAAAACCTAACATGCCTCAATCAAAGTCAGATTCGACGCAGGGGAAAAACTTTATTAGAGAAATTATTAGACGAACTAGAACGGAATTTAGAGAAATTCCAATGAAACTTCTTGGTTTAAATCTGGTATTATTAAAAGATAAAAAATCGCTGGAGTTTCCTTATGATTCCACAAGATCTAGTTCCTTACAAGTAAAAGATTCCGGCCAACCGAAAGGATCCTTGGATAGAAATTTTTTGGATTCCATTAGAAATGAGGATTCCGAATATTCCAAATTAATGAATAAAAGAAAATTTAAACAACGAAAACAAAGATCAACTTCTTGGGATCCTTACTTTCTTAAAACCGAACAAAAAGAGATCAAAGGCCGTAAACCCACGCTAAGCCTTCCGTTTCCGAAAGAAAGGGAACAATCTCGGGGCAATGCCCCGAGGTCCCTTTATTCATTTTACTCTGATAGATGGTCAGAACTTTATATGGGATCAACTCCTATTGCTAAGTCCAATATGGATCCGAAATTTAGGAATAAATCTCTTTCTTTTGTCCGGCAAGCGGAAAAGAAAGAAATAGTTAATCTATTTAGAATACTTACGTATTTAAAAAGGACTGTTTTAATTAAGTCTATTTCTTTGGATCCCGAAATAGAAAATTCGAAGAATACTGGATTTCTTAAAAAAACTCCATTATTTTCTTTTGTTAACCGATTCCTTGAAAGTAAACAAGGAAGCTATGTGCTACAACATAATTGGAAATCAGAAAAAAAATTACAAAAAAGTCCAGGTTTATTTATTCTGACAATAAGCGAGCCGGATCCAGTCTATAATCAGGGATTTACTTTTTTTGTTAATATAGATTCATATGAATTGCATAAAATCAAATTATTGAATAAAATATTCAATACTAGGACTGAATCAAAAAATCAATCTTTGTTGGCTCTTTCGCCTATTTTTTTTCGTTATAAGGAGAATAACTCTTTTTTTCAGCGAACGGGCCAAAACTGCGTATGGATTGAAGCAGTGAATCTATATAGATATAGATTCATTCACAATATGATTCAAATGCAATCTAGTACCTATGTGTACATAAGAAATCTATTAAATAAATTTGTTTTCATAAATATATCCAATCACAATTTCAAATATCGAATTAGGAGAATTCAAGGGGATCAAAAAGAAACGGGTCTTCTCAATCATCTAACTCATATGACATATAAAATAAAACAGGGTCATCCATATAGATCCAAATGGTCAAATGGGGCAAAGAGTTTACAAGAAAATTCAAAACATTTTCTTTATGAGCAGAAAAGACTTTTTGAAATGTATGTTCAAGTCCGAAAGGGCCATTTGCAAATGATGTTTGAGAAAGTTTATAAATTATGTATTTATGTTATTGATAAAATAACTGAGAAATGGATTTATTGGTCTAAGGTTCGCAGGGAAGTAGAAATCAAAGTAAAAAAAAATGTGTATAAGTTAGTTCCTTTAGTTTTTACCAAGTTGTCCAAATCAGTACGTTTCTTCTTTTTTCCCCAGTCACTTCGTTTTTTTTTTACGAAGGGATTTCACTGTATGATCAAGTTGCTTTTCTTTTTGTCTAATTCACTTGGTTTTTCCTGTGTAAGTTTTGGTACTAGTCCTGTTCAGAGGTCCGAAATCTATATCTATCAATTACAAGGACCGAACGGTCAACTTTGTAATCAGTTGTTGGAATCAATAGGGTTTAAAATGATTTATTTAAAAAAATTAAACCCCTTTTTGTTGGAAGAGTCTGGTACGTCGAACTTTGTTATCAATGAAACAAAAAGATCACCCTTTTTGTTTCATAATATAGCAAAAGAGAGGATTGATGCATTGCTTACTAGACCAAAATATTTTGATGAAAAGGCTAATGGGTTTCATCCCATGAACCTATTTGAAAGAAGTTCACTTATATCCGCTTTTTATAAAGCAAATAGACTTCGCTTCTTTAATATTCGCCCTAACTCTAACTTTTGGTTAGATTGTAAGAGAAGATTTCCATTTTCTGTGGAAAGGACTCGGAATACTAATTCGTATTTTCTCTATGAGCAATTTCTAAATAGCTTGTTCCTTGGGAATCAAAAAGTTTCTTTAGGTGGTGGGAAAAAAAGACAGGTTTTTGGGGATAGAGCTACTATTTCACTAATTGATTCCTTATTTAAGGATTTTGCCAAAAATGGTGACCCACGGTATAACTTTGAGAATTTTTTTAATTCTGTAAGGGAATCCGATCCAGTCATGCCTAATTTGATTCTAAATACTTTTGGAACATCTTCTACAGAGGAAGAAATAGTCAATTTGGAAACAACTTATTGTCAACCGTTTTCAGATCTAAATAGAAATCTATATGATTCAGAAGAAAATCACTTTCAAGAATATCCTAATTTTAATTTAAATATGGATATGGATTTGGTTGACATTCCCTGTTCTTATAAATATTTTTCATTTCAAAACAAAAAAAATCGAAAAAAAGGCGCTGTGTTTCAGAAAAGACGGATGGCAACAACTTTTCATAGAGAGAATTTTTTTTCCATTTTATCAGAAAAATTAAATCTTTTCCAAATGAATTTGCCAAACTTCTTTACTTTGACAGGGTACAAATATCTCTATTCTCTATTGATAGATATAGTTTCAATATTAAATAGTAGGATATCTATTTATTGGGAGATTTTGTATTTATTATGGCAAATTTTTAAGATGAAATTGTTGCCCTTTTTTATAACAAGTGAAATCTCAAGTAAGTGGTTACATAACCGTCTTCTAGCTAATGAAAGGTTGCAACGAAATACTAAAACATCAACACATTTTAGATCACCAAGTGGTTGGGCTTTTTTCGTTTCAACGCTTTTCCTTCTTATTGGTGTTGGTTATCTTGTTATTATAAATCTTGTCTTTGTTTCTCGATCTTTGAGGGAGTTAGATATCAAGTTTAAAAGATTAAAACCTTTTCTAATTCCCTCATATCTAATTGAGTTTCAAAAACTTGTAGATAAATATCCTATGTGTGAATCAAATGGGTTTTGGTTAAATAATATATTTATATTTGGCTTTAACCAATTCGTACGTTTGTTAGAAGGAATCCAAGGTTTTGTTTTCGGTCTCAACAAGATTCATC